TAACATTTTTTTCCCATTTTTAATATAAATTTTATTAATTGTTAATCTAAAATCAAATAATTCTTATCTCATAGTTCTTCTCTTTTTTCCATCTTCCTTAGTTATTTTTAATTTTTATTTAATCAAATTCATAATCCTTAAAAATTGAGATTAAAAAGTATCAAACTATTATTTTAATAAAAAAAATCGAACTATAGCTATTTTTAATATGCAAGATCTACATGGAGTATTATAAAATAAGAGAAAGAATTTAACAATTCTTTTTTCTTTTTTCCTTTTTACATAAGTCTTTACAAACTCTCTTTTCTATAATTGCTTAACTTGCAAAAGTTTATTTTAGGGTTTTTTTCTTATCCCTTCTATCATTTCTAATTTTCTACCTTTTTTTTTTGTTCCTATTCTATTCCTTAAATTGTATTACAAACTATTTTAATATGTTAATATAAGTGCTCAAATCAAAGTTACAAAGAGAAAGTGATTTGAATAAGATTTTGGTACAATTGAATGCATATTCACAAATATATGTGGTAATAATATTGGATATATATATATATATATCTAATTTAAAAGAAATGTGAAGTAGAATTTATATGTATAAGGATTAAACTTACTTTTAATTTGTTTCAAGTCACCATCCTTATTTTTGATATCATTCAGTTGAGTCTTAGGTAGTGAAAAAATCTTTCAATCTCACCCATCCTTTTTGAGTTAATTTAACTAAGGCCTAAGATAGGAAACAAGTTGAAATAAACTCCCTAATTTTAAAGTATGGAACCATGTTTTTACATGAATGATTGTGAGGTGCACATACATCCTTCATCACTCCTAATTGTACCCTTGGGCCCTGATCTCTTGTAAACCAATAGTAACCTATTCCACTTTATTTGAGTAGGTGGTGACTCCCATTTTTGCCATTAAAACTTAATTTTTCAAGATAATATAATTTTTGAAATTTTAAGTAAATGTGTGTCAACAATTTGGTAACTCCACTAAAGATTAAACCCAAATTAAAAATCTCTGATTTTCATATTCTAGATTCACGAGGGTTGACCTAATACTTTAAATTTAGGGAATTTTTGACTTTCCTATCTTTGAGTGGTGAAGCCTTGTTTGAGTCTTTTGTTAGGTATTTTTATCCTTTTGCCCATTTGCACATCTGACCCATGCTATGTCATTCATCATCTTTTGCCATGTTCATGCCTCATTACATTTACATATACATGCATCATGCCTCACATATTTTGCATTATGCACATTCTTGGCATGTTTATTTTTTTGTTTGTGAGTGCATTAACCATTTGCACTTGGTAATGGAGCACTGTGTACTTAGATTGGGTTGTGACTATGTTTTTCATTTTGCATGCCAGTAATATTTTATTGTGATATCTGTTGGGGGTGCAATAAGCTTAAGGGAGCTTGCATTTGCACCTTCTACTTTAGCTACTTTACTTTTCTTTTCTTTTTTTCTTTTTTTTTGTTGCGATAGTTGTTTAATTTCTATATATTTTTGTTCTTATGAGATATTGTTGCTTTTGGATCAATATGAGGGGACTCTTTCTTTAATTAATTACCATAATTAATTTAAATTAACGTTAATTCATATTTGTTTAAATTAGTCTAGTTAGCAAGCAATGGAGTTTGGTGAGATTTTTGTGGAGATTGTTGAGCCGCTGCTTGAAAATTGAACTTTGGAGTTACTGGCAAAGGAGGACACTGGTGATAACAATGAGGTGGTGAGGTGCTCCTCGAATGCTTCCTTACAATGCACTCAAAGATAACTTCAAAGATAGAGTAGCTTGTTATAGGTTAAGAGTTAGTCAGGGATGATGGATCATACGGTTGGAAATTTTGTGGAGGAAAAGGAGGAGCAGGATCAATTAGTCGAAGAGGACTTACCTCAAGGGATGAAGAAGGAGAGAAAAAGTCTATGGGTTTTGCTCCAATGGGTGGGTTTATTTTGATAACTTCGGCTTTAATTTCTAGCCTTACACTTCCAAGTTTAAGAAAGAAGAATTTGTGGATACTTGAGTTATGGAAGTGGGAAATCTTGGTTTTGGTAGTTATATCTAGAAGGTTGATATCAGGTTGGATTGTTAGAATAATAGTGCTTTTCATTGAGATGAACTTTTTATTGAGGAAAAGAGCTTCTTACTTTGTTTATGCATTGAGCAACATAGTTCAAAATAGTTTGTGGATGGTTCTGATTTTGATTGTTTAGCAGTACTTGTTTGACAAGAAGGTTGCAAAGGAAACCAATAGTAATGTTGTTAGACTTATTAGTAAGGTTTTAGTCTGTGTTGTGGTGAGTCTGATGTTTTTCTTGGGAATTTTGAGCATCACAATCCCACGCAAACGGAAGTAAATTGAGACAACAATTTAACGTAGTTTGACTTGTATACCTCTCAATAGGTCTATGTCCATGGGAAAGAGAGAGATAAATCTACTAGTAAGGAAAAGAGTATAATAATTTAGAAACTCTCTCACTCAATAAGCTCTCAACACCCTAACTTTAATATATAAAACCTTCCAAATTCTCCCCAATACTCTTTCTTAATGTTCACAAGGATTGTCTCATAATTTCTCTCTTTCTTTTCTCTCACAAGAGCTCTCACTCAATTTCTCTTGCTTTCTCCCACTTTTGCTTGCTCATTGCCTTTGCATGCATGGGTATTTATAGTGAAAAATCCCAACCACCCATGCACCATTTTTCTTTGCTCATTAAATGGGATCAACATGCAATCTTGCATGATTTCAACAAAGCAAATGCTAGCCCACAACTAGCTAGGTTGGTGAAGAAATTTTACCACATGGAAAGTCCATGTGTTCACATGGAGTTGGACTTTCTACCAACAATCTCCCCCTCTAACCTCATGGGAGGAGAATCAACCATGACTGCACACACTTCAACATGACCATAATTTAGGTCCCTTTACTCAAGAACACTTCATCATAGTGTCCTATTTTTGAGAGTTTCCTCCTAGTATAGGATAGGGCAAACCTACACTAGGTGCATTGCAGAAATTAATTTTGGACCAAAATATGATCCAAGGGAAAATCACACCTCCTCGAACCATCATCAAACACCACTTCATTGTTGAAGCTCACCTTCTTCTTGGTGTTATTAATTTCCTTGCCTTCTACCAAGATCCCTTTAGGCTTCCACACCATCTTCCTCATGGTCTTGTTAAGCCCTCTCTTGGGATGTTGCTTAAGCACATAGATGTTGTGCTTGTTTTTCCTTCCATGCAGAACTAGTCTTCCACCTTTGTAGACCTTGCACCATTCTTGCTTTTCAACATACTTGTACCCTCGTGTTGTCAACTTACTTAAAGAAATAATATTGCTTGAACACTTGGGCACATATCTCACATTCTTAATAATATTGCTTGAACACTTGGGCACATATCTCACATTCTTAAAAATCTTGGCTCTCCCATTGTGAACATTGAGATGAACATCTCCTATGCCTTCAATATTCACCTTCTCATCATAGCCACCGTTATTTTACCAAGCTCCCCCTAAACCAAACTCAAAAATTCAGAAGGATTATTGCACACATGCATGGTTGCAGCAGAGTCCAAAATCCACCTCTCATTGTTTTGCTCCACCTCAGGATCACACTCTTCACAAGCTAATACTTCAACCACATTTTCTTCAACAATATTAGCCTCCCCCTTGCCCTTGGTTTCTTGACTTTTCATCAATATTTTCAACAATTTGAATAAAATACACAATATAATAAAAAAAATGGTACAGCTTCCTCAAGAAGTCTTTATTATCTTATTATAATAGAATCCCCAAACTACTCTCATTCCTCCTCCTTTCTTCTTAGATTCTCTTAAATTCTCAAAAATGTCTTCTCCGAGTAATTCCCACATGTCTGCATCGAAGGAGAATGAGATTGTTGAGTTCAACCATGAAGGAATTTCTCGTTTCTGCTACTGTGGCTTGATATAATCCATAACCTAGTATAATGAAAGTGCCTTAATAGGCCATTAAATAACTCAATGTCTTTGGAAATTCTAACATTTTTTTAGGCCTTTTATTTTTAAAGACTACTGCACATATCCATTGTATTCAATCTAAAAAATAGTCAACATCTAGCATGGCCTAAATTTTGAGACTAAAGTATAAACAATAAATTAAAATAAGACAAGAAAAGCAGTAGATTCAGATTCATTCTATTTTAATATTCATATAGAATACTGATTGTCTTTATAGACATCAACTTATAACACATATAATATGTCACACGTTCCAATTAAGCCATGCATCTTAAAATAAAATCTAAATGGCTGCAAATATCCATCTTAATCTAAAAAAGCAGCCATTCTTAATTTAAACAAAAGTGTAACTAGAATCCAATATTACAAGACCCTAAACCCTATTAGTCCATTTTCGTACAATGTTTCTTCCATTATGGTCCATTGTTCTCCATTTCTGGTGCCATAGGTTTCTTGCCCTTCTGATTTGCCTTAGATGGAGAGGTTGGCACGTCCGATAGCATTAATGAATTTTCATCACAATAGAAATCAATGACAGTTGAAAATACGTAGAATAAGAGAAATTATCAAGCATCACAAACATATAATACTATTCAAGTTGTTCAAAAATTAAGAAATCACCACTTACACTGTTCTGGATGCTGAAAGATGTCAGGACGGGAGATAGCCGTACAAGTAATGTTTGAACTTTCCATTTTTATTTAATTAATTATTTCGATTTATCGATTAATTTTATTTCGAATTTGTTTATTTATTTATTTTGTTTTTGTAGATGATGAAATAAAGGTGATGGCCAGCTCGTTTCCAATACTAAGAAGTTGGGCTTCTATACATGCTGCATGTGTTGGGTCCATGAAGAGGTACTACAATTGATTTCCAATCTAGTTTTTGCTTTAATTAGTTATTATGGTCCATAGCCCAGTATTTTTTTCTTTTTCGTAATTTTTTCATCTGATACCCAATTTTTTGGGCATATTTTGTGGAAATGTTCATAATAATTTAATATAAATTTCTCTAATACAGGGCTACAATTCGAGGAAGTTGGGAATATCACTAACTTAGTATCTCTAACCAATCACAACATGCCACGTCTACACGTTTTTATTAATGGCGCGGCTGAGGTTAAAAGATGTGCGGCGTTCAAAAATGGCGTAAGGGTCATATAAGGTCTCAGACTTACCAAATTCACAATTAAGGACTACAATGTGAAATTTTCTCCTTTTCTTGGCTAGAAAGTGTCATTTTCTCTTTAGATACCACTTAAATACAATTTTGATTTTTGTCCTCACTAAGTTTTTCATTTTTGTTTTTTCTTTTTACACAGATTTCTTTCATTAGATAAAATTATTATTAAAAGTCTCTTTGCAAAAAATTGTTGACATGACTTAGGCATAAATTTAAGGTTGTGGATTCAACTTCAACTTCAATTTCAATCTATGATGAGTTTTATTAAATTTTTATCTGAATGGAAGATTTCATTTTGTTAAGAATTTATAATTCTAAAACTTAAAATTTCATCAAAATGAACGGATAGAAAATGGAATACTCTTTCACCATTATTTATTAATTTTTACGGTTAGACCACAACAGGGCATCATTTGATGAGAACTTCATGTGGATTTCAACCAAAGAACCTATGCTAAAGCGCCATCTAGCAGAGGGGACTGTCTATCTAAAATAGAAGCAAATTCATGCCAAACAAGTTCAGCTCATGGGATGGGAAACATGTAAACCTTGTATTCTTTTTCTTTCTCTCAACCTTTATTTACTTAACTATTAGAGTATAGATTTTTAACAATGTGAATTTACTGATAAAATTACACACGTGAGTGATCTTAATTTTCACTCAAATGACTCATATTATTATATGTTATATCAAACAAAACAAATATCAAAATAGAAACTCAATCACAATTCACAACAATAATATCAAAACAGAAATCCCAACACTCATTTGAAGTAGTAATGACAAATTTTTAGAGTTGCATCTTGAGTATATGAATCGTCAATCAAAGAACTAATTTTTTTAACTTTTCTTCCTCGCTGAATTACAGCCTCAGAGGGTTTCTAGAAATTTGTAAGCAAGCACATTAACCCAAGGTACACGGAAATAGAAACAGCTATGGATAGAGTAGAAATAGAGGCCTCCTAATTCTCCTAACCTAAGAGGGCATCTCAGCAGGTTTGGCAACATATCCTATATATGAAAAAATATCTTGTATGCCCTAACTTCCTCTGCTGTGAAAATGCCCTCACACAAGGGAACAAAGTCATATATCCCCATGCATATTCCAAAATCCCCCTCCCTGTTAACCTCAGTGCCTTCTTCTTGCGCATAATTGAATCATGTATCAGTTGATATATCTGTATAATTTCCTTAATTTATGACTATATATATCCCCTATATATTAAAAACTGCACAAAAAACCGCTCACTAGGGTATTGTACTAATTTCAATTGGTAAGTCGGTTAGATGTTATTATGGTTCAGCTTTCACACATTTTACGTTGCTCATAAACAATGACATAATAAAGATCATTTTTAGTATTTATCGTTAGTTTTCATATACTTCAAAATTAATTACTCCTAGTCAAATTTAGGGATGCATTGTGTATTAACAAAAATTAATTTCTCTAGATGTTAACTTAAAAACTTGAATCTTAATTTTAACTTACAAAATGATACTTGTTTATCAATAAAGATAACTCTTGAATTTCAAATAATAAAGATTATTGTATATGAACATGCCCACAAAATAATATTCAAAATCAAAACACAAATCTCAAATCTCGGATACACACACCAGAGAAATAAAAATCTCAGATAGGGAGAAAATTAATAAATTACCTAAAATAAAAAAGAATTAACTCGTGGGCCGTGAATAATAATAATTACTCAAAATCTAAAGGTTAAAGTACCATTTTGGTCCTCAACTTTTCATTTTAGTACCAAAATTATCTCAAAATTTTAAAGAATGTCAAAATTATCCTTAAACTTTCATTTTTTTTTTGTACAAAATGGTCATTTCGTCAGTTAAATAAACAATTGACACGTTAAATTGCTAGAGTTTTTTTTTTTGAAAAAATACTAATGTGGAAAAGATGACACACGTAAATTAACAAGGTGACAACTTTTTTTTGTTTACATGGTATTTTAATTTTAGCAACTAAATAGAGAATCAGTTATTAATTTATTATTAATTAATTAATATATTTCCAAAATTATCCTTCTTCTTCCTTATTCTCCCCTTCTGCTTCACTCTTCCCCTCTTTCTCTCTCTCGTCCCTGGGCCATCATTTCTTCTCCCTCTCCTCCGACATCTCTTCCCTTTCCATTTTTCAGTTGATCCCCTTCCCCGTTTTTCCATTTTTCTTGAACCACGACGATCCAATGCTCGAGATCAACTATCGCGGCTTCACTCGAATGGAAATGATTTGATTTGAAACCAACCGTGGAAGTAGGTGAAACAAAGGGTATGGAGATTGATTCAGGGAGAACCAGAGGTACAGAGGAAAAGGAGAGAATGTTTGAGATATAAGAAATTGATTTAGGGTTGGTTCTCAACCTAGATCTGGGTTCTCGAAACTCAGATCTAGGTTCTCAAAACCCATATCCAGGCTTGAGAATACATATTCAATTGGTTAAATCCCTGGTTCAGTCCCTAAACTTTCATTTTTTAACTAAATTTACCCTTGAACTTCAAAAAGTACTAAAAAAATCCCTGAACTTCAATTTTTGAGACCAATTTTGTCCTTCTGTCAGTTAAATGCTAATGTAGCAAAATTCTCCATTAAGAAATTCAATTTTTATTAATATTGAGTATTACGTGGAAATAAAATAAGTGATATGACATTTTTTAATTATGGGTGGGTTTGGATTGATACGAAGTAGGTTAAATCCCCGATTCAGTCCTGAACTTTCATTTTTTAACTAAATTTACCCTTGAACTTCAAAAAGTACTAAA